CCATTGTGTTTCTGCATCACAGTTCAGGGGCATGTGGATGTGATCACCCTCACAGTTGTCCACTGCATCACTGGTGGTCAGATACATCTGTGGAAATAATATTAAACATTTTTACATTAATACTTAAAATACATCATACAATCATACATACAATTAATATATGATGGGACCCATACTTAGAACAGTATGTGTGTGAGAGAGAGATGCATTAAAAACAAAACAGTATAGACGCTGTAAATGTAGTGTTAAAACGTAGATCAATATCTGAATGAGAAATGTAGCTAGCTGGCCTGCTATCATCTGCAATCTCTGTAAATTACAGGAATAATGTGAGCTATTGTAATGTACCATAATATCTTGTACTAGCGTAAATATGAAATAAATAGGTGGGCAATGGTAATCATGCAAAATTCGTTGTACTTTGTTAACTGCTCGTTACTGATCTTAAATTTATTCACAGAACGGACTTCATAAATCCAACGTTAGGCGAACAAGCACATAGCTAGCTAAATTAACGTTAGCTTACCTGAATCTGACAACCTTTTCAGCACCCGGCGTGACTGCTTTACCGGAACATCGTAAAAACAGGAACGTTTGGAAACATACGAAAGACTTTAAACATACGATTGCGACAATATGGTTTATTTGTGTTTGTCAAGTCATCTCCAGGTATTAAATAAAGTATATGAACAATGCAGTGCTAACTGACATAGCATTTATTACAGTATTGAAACTATTCTGCCTTATTATGTGATAAAAAAAAGTGTTTGTAGTATATAAGCAAATCATTATTATTGGTTATTGTCCAGCAGTTATCTGATTTCTAAGCCACTTAAAAGTTAGAAATGAGAGGAAAAATTAAAGTTGCCTATACACCAGTCAACAGTTTTTGAACAGTAAGATTTTTAATGTTTTTTAAAGAAGTCTCTTCTGTTCACCAAGCCTGCATTTATTTGATCCAAAGTACAGCAAAACAGGCTATTTCAAACAACTGTTTTCTATTTGAATATATTTTTAAAATGTAATTTATAATGATTTCAAAGCTACATTTTTTTTGCATCATTACTCCAGTCACACGATCCTTCAGAAATCATTCTGATATTCTGATTTGCTGCTCAAAAAACATTAATAATAATAAGAATTAAAAAAGGTTTCTTGAGCAGCAAATCAGCATATTAGAATGATTTCTGAAGATCATGTGACACTGAAGACTGGAGTAATGATGCTGAAAATTCAGCTTTGACCACAGCGATCATTTTAAAATATATTCAAATAGAAAGCAGTTATTTTAAATAGTACAAATATTTCACAACATTACTGCTTTTGCTGTACTTTGGATCAAATAAAATGCAGACTTGGTGAGCAGAAGAGACTTCTTTATAAAACATTAAAAATCTTACTGTTCAAAAACTGTTGACTGCTAGGTTATATAGATTACAGAAATTTTATATTGTAATGTTATATATATATATAACATTTCTGTTCCCCTCACTTCTGAAATGATGGCTACGCCCTGGTTGTAACACACATGGTTTGAATATTTCCACACATGCTAGCATAACAAAATGTACAGTATTTATTAGTTACCATATCAACATATAGAAAAAAAGTGCGCCAAAACTAAAAAATATTTTGAAGATATCGCTGAACATTTATTTTACCATAGTAAAATTAAAATTCTGGCTTAAGTACATTTTTCATCTCAGTTTTTATTATTAATTTAAAATGAGACAAATCTGCTATTTTCTGTTTGTGACCTGAGTTGGATGCTTGTGTACTTTCTTTTCCTCACTCGTTCCCCCATGTATGTGGACGAGTGTGTCGGTGCTTGAGGTGTTTTATTAAACTCGGGAAAATACGCCATCCTCTCGTCTCCCGTGCATTATAAGCCCCACACAGTTTCTCATCTGGGCTGTTTAACATTTCAACTCGGTGTTACAGCATTTAAGGTAATTACTTTAGCTGGGGCTTTGCGGCAAGCTTTAGCCTACTGCGTGCATTTGAACGCAGATCTCTTCAGCTGCGCTGACGGCACGCGCCATACATGCTGCTGCTGCGGGACACTGAACACCGTCGAGCCGCTCTTCACAGTCTCGCTAGCTCGGTCTCGTGTTGTTTCCACCAGCGCGACAATCTTTTGTCATCACTAATTGATGGATGTCTAAAATATAAAAATAAGGAGAAGCTTAAAACAAGCCCGAGGCCCGGCCCGCGTCTGAACTATGACATGACAATTATGAAAGATAGTGGTCGTCTGCGCAATTCAGAAAAAGAGGCGGCTTTTCTGCATTAGGTATGTTTATTTTATTGTATTTTTCTTACACTTTGTACAGCAGTTATTGTTCATTCTAAATGTATTTTTAAATGTAGAATATGTGTTACATAAATACATGAAATGTAGAACATATAAAAAAGCGTTCGACTAAAATGCTCAGACTTTTAGTCGACTAAAACTTGACTAGATTAAAAAGAGTATGAACGTGACTAAAACTAATAAAAACTAAAATGACAGCTTCACACAAAGACTAGACTAAAACTCAAATGAAAACAGGCCGCCAAAAACAACACTACTTTTGTGTACATAGAAAAAGTCTTAGATCTTTGAGTTCAGCTCATGAAAAATGGGGGCAAAAACAAAAGTGTTGCGTTTATAATTTTGTTCAGTGTATATACACATGCAATATAGCTTTTTATTTTATATTGTCATATCACCCAGCCCTGAAACTTGCCCTGTGGTAAAGCACTAAAGCATTATTGACATATCGGTATTACTTTCTGTATAGCTGTTTTAAAATAATACGTATTGTGGTATTGAGAAAAGCATTATGCAAATAAAAGTGTTTGATCGTTGCCTCAGATTGCTCAGTTGTAAAACTCAATATGTGACCTGAAAACCTAACATTTGTCACACTGCACTGCTATTGCTGGAAAAAGTATTACTGGAGAAGCTATACTATTTTGAAAACAGCTGAGCTACTATCATGCTACTGAAAAGTTAGAACTCCCCCAAACTGCATGGGAATCAGTGTGTAGCTTGTTAACTGCAATAGGAATATGGTAAACAATACATTTGGATTACCTTGCCTACATTAAAGAATATTCCTCAGTACAGTGTTATTATAGTAATTCATTATGCATACTGTACTACAGCTGTAAGTTTTGAATATGCAAGCTAGAACCTTAAACAGCCATTGAACTTATGGTCAAAATTCACTCAAAGAAAGGCTTCCAGTGTTTACTGCAATTCATATAGTGCTTATAAGGCATTCTCTTCAAAATCCACCTGGAATATTGATGTGCCCCAAACTTTGAAACTAACCATATGACGTCACTTTGAAGCAGAATAAAGTGACTTATGTTGTGTGAAGAGAAGGGAATGGTTGAGGAAGCATAATGTTGTGCACTGTACTTGAAATGGGAAACAAGTGCTCTCAGGTTTCATTGCTTTCCTTGTACTTAGAGGCCACCAATGTTGAATCTGTGTTATTGTGGATATGTCACATACTTTGAATGAGATGCAAGCACTATCAGTTTCCTTACAAAGGATCCACATCGTCTTACTCGAATCAAAGAATCTCAACACTTGACTGATGCAGTGAGGGTACGGTTTGGAGGAGGAACGCTGCTGCTGATCATGCAGTCAGCAATGATGCATTTCATTTTATGATCGCAACCCTTGAGCAAGTCACCATTTATTCTTTTTTGTTATCACAGAAATGCATTCCATGTGAAACAGCATATGAATGACAGCACCTCGCTGGCCTAGGTGTAAAATGTTCACACAAAATATGAATCCTTATTTAACTTAGCACATTATTCATTGAATGTGGTTGATCAGGTTAAGTTTTTATTGAAATTAGAGGAACCTGTAACCAGCAAAAGATGCTCAAATTCGTCAAAAATATCTTTCACCTTATATTCAACCCAACACAGAGCAGAAGCAAGGCCACACATTTTCGATTCACAGCGTATGATTGAAATAGGTCGGCTGCCCTAAAGTGCAGCATTTTGAAGCATTTCTTTTACGACCACCGCTGGATAGCTGCTTGTAAAGTTTGTTTCGCTTGCCAGCGATAAAATTGGGAATGGCTAGTCCTCGAATGAGAGTGTCTTTCTGTTCATACACACATTTCTGTCTTTTATTAATGATGGACTCGTACAGGAGCAGTGAAAACATGCTATTCAGCTGATGATAAAAGACCGTCAAGCGATGCCGAAGCGAAAAGAAGGCCAAGTCGCATTCATGCGGTTGAAGCACTGACTGCCTGCTGTTCAGGTCTCTACATAATGTAGGATTAAAGCCTTTCAGCTGCAAACATTTTCTATAAACTCATTTCAGAATTTAATGTAACCCCTAATCTTTAAAACTCATTTGTTTCCAGTTTGCCAAACTGTTTTTCGCCCGTGTTTCTTGTTGAGCTTGACTATGAAAAAGAAAAGGTCATTTGTGGAGCGGAGGTAGAGGGCAAAATTTCCCTTTAATCAAGTTTAGTATCTTGTTTTTATGTAGGATCTCAGTTGGAATGCAGAATCGCAGTTAGAAAATAATAAGTTCATGAGGTTAAAAGAACTGTAAAGTAGTTCTGTGTGGCACCTTTTCATTTTTCAGCACTGTGTCGTGGTCTTTAAACACTTCTTATAACTTAAAATGGAAATTTGAGTACCTGTATTAGTCAAGGTGCTGTGTGTGTGTTTTCTCAGTCTGCTAGAGTTATCAATTTCGTGAAATGCCCAAACCCCACGATGGAGCAGTATATCCTAATTTTATCAGGGGAAACAGGGCGAGATTCCATTCGCTGTCTAAATGGCCATTATCTGAATATAACACTTGTCCAGCAGGCAAATGGGCCTCGGTAGGGGTTTAAGCGCTGTAATGTCGGTGAAGACTCTGGAAGGGCAATGCGGTCAATCAAAGGCCACCTAACATCTCTCAGCCCTGGTGTTGGGTGTTCCTCTCCGTAATTCCCTGATTTGACTTTGATGTGCCAATTTGCTGCTGATGAATAATTGTCTGGTTTGCTGATAACTTGTGGGAGTCAAGAGCATTCTGGTGGCACTTAATGCAAATGGGATATTTGGGTTCGGCAAATCAGGACCGTGTCCCCTACATGTCTGCCATGTGATTCGGTGGATAAAATTATGCGGGTTATAGATAAACGCAGGAAGCAATGGATCTGAAATGTGATGCAAGATGCACAGTTGCATTTACATACGATCAGATGGAGACTGTCTGATAATAACTGATGAACAGTTTGGAAAAAGGAGCCAGAAAGAGTTAGAAAGCGTGCCACTGTGAGTGCACTGCAGGAGCCTCGAAGATAAATCGTAATTTCTTTCACAATGCTGTGTTCTGCTGATTAGCCAGCTCTCAGTCTTTGACATCCCGGGTGACTTAGGAGGAGGAGCAGGGGACAGAACGCAGGATTTGGGGTGTAATCCTGTTTGTCATCCGGGGCACATGGACTGCCAGCTATTGATTCCCAGCAACTGTCTAGAAATGTATTAAGGGGAACAACAGGCATCTAATTGTAATGTCCTCTTTGGAGTGGTGCGTCTATTGATGAATGGTGAAGAGTAGACAGGTTGTCGCAAGATGATAATTGGAAAGAGAGTGGGTGGTCCTGCGCTGCTCTTTGGCCTTGTGTACACAGCATATTAGGCCTGACTTGCTGTGTTTGTACGAGGGGATTTCACACAATAACAAATGTGCCAACATTCTTAGGTTCGTCTCCACTTAATGAAGCAAGCAGTGGTTTTTTAATTTGTTAGACTTAATTAAACTTGATTAAGCTTATTAGTGGACACAAGCCATGTGCAAACAGATAAACAATGTCTTTAAATGAATTAACCATGTTCCCAGAGTGATGGACTACCCCACATGGGTTAGGAGAAGCTTATTTTGTGTACATGTAAATTTACACTGATATGTATCATATTTGTACTTTTTTCTTACATTTTTATTTTCAAGGTGAAATATCCAATTGTTTTCCCATTAAACATTAAATTGCACCTTTAGGGGTGTAACAGCTTGTCACTAAGGCAGTACCCTCTAAAAGACGTCTTTGTACCTCATGTACCCCTGCAAGCTTCTGGGTAGTACTTAAAGGGTATATATCACTTGCTCTAAGTTACTAATATGCAGCTTTTAGGAGTAAATAAGGCACAAAGTTGTCCCTTTGTCCCCATAACATATACATACACATATTTTTAGATGTAAAAAAATTTGAATTGTTTGTTTTTCAATAAGTCCATTTCAAATTTTTTTTTACTATTGATTCATGTTAGGCTTTACAAGATAAAGGGTATAGCCTCAGCCTCAATCTTTTCTAAGATTGTGTTATGAAATTATGCGTATCACGAAGCTTTCTTGGGGGTTTACCTTTTCTTTTTTTCTCCAAGAAACGCACTAACCTTGACACACAGCCATGAAAGTCTTCTCTATGATATAATTTCATGTTTTACCTTTCACTTGACAACAAAATGTTAGTGAATATCCAATGAATTTGAGTTTATTTGTAATATGTAACAATTTAATGAGATGGCAACTTCGTATGCATAGCCTATACATTTTGATTAGTTAGAAAATGTATGATTGTTCAAAACAAGCAAGAAAGTCCACCTGTTACACCTACCCATCAGTGAGGTATAAGCAGCCACTAACTAGTCAAAAATGTCAAATTTGTCATATGCGCTCAGGTAGATGAATCCAGCAGTGTTACACACATAATAGAGCAAGACGTAAACATATGCAACATCAATCCTCCCTTTCACACTTCTGAAGTGGTTGCACGCAAACAATTCATGCTATTGCCTGCCTCCATTTGAACCACCA